ACGGGACCAAGGGACAGGTGAGTGTGTGTTTTTTTAAAAGTCAGCAGTTACGGTTTTTGTAGCTGCTGACTTTTATTTTTTGACAGCGTGAGTGGAACTCCGCCTTGATGCAGAGAATGCATTAAAGTATAAAAAAGTTTTGACTTTAGAACCACTTTCAGATAGTGTATGGCCAATCACAGAACTTAACCAGAAATCTTTCTATCCTCCTCTAAATTAATTCCCAACATTTTTTTTCTTCTTGTAGTGAGAAAAATCCTTTATGACATTGTCACCAGATTAAAAAAAAAAAACTTACAGGAAAGGTTTTGAGGCCATGAGTTGTATTGACATAAGCATTATTTCTAGAACTGTATCTCTCAAGAACAATTTCCCTAAATACAGTGTGCAGGAAGGCTCTTGGGATTTAAGGAGGCAGTACTATTTTGCTGTGAAAGAAATAGATGTATACACATAGATTGGGACTGAGAAGAAGGTAGTTCAGGAGACAAGACTGCCAAAAATTATTATGATTTAGTGCAGCAAAAGCTCAGTATTGGCAGCTTAAAAGGATTTTAAGAGCATGCTTGCTTCAGAATCAACAATGACCTTTCTTTTCAGCATTTTAAGTTTATAAAACACGATGATGAAATATATAAATGACTTTTTAAAATTTTGTCCTGACATACTCATACATTTTACCACAAAATGCTTTATAATTGCTTTATGTAGTCTTTAGGTAGATGTACTACGGTGTATTATGTACAGCACTGAGCAAACTGTTGGCGCTATATAAATACTGTATAATAATAATGTACAGACCAGAGATGAGCTGAACGAACCAGAGTTTGTTGAACATGGCCAAAGTTCGAATCTCAAATCCAAACCATATTAAAGTCAATAGGAAGCAACAATTTAAAAATAAATCAGTAATGACCATTTCTGGGCAAATAGTGATTACCAAGCAAAGGGCATGAGGAGCTTGGCAGGGCATGAGGAGCTGGGCAGGGCATGGAGGATATGTACCAATGAAAAAAAAATAAAGTTTAAATGTATTAATCAGTGGGGAGAGGGTCTTTTCAGGTGGCTTAAAGGGCAACACTGAAAATAAAAAAACAACAATAAACTTCAAATTACATACATTAGGGGATTTTTTTAAAGCAGTATTTGATTTCACAGAATGTTACAATTCTCAGGGTAGTACCAGTGATACAGTATTGTGATATCACATAAATCATTTATAGTATCTTACAATATTCTTTGGTTTACATACAGCAGCAGCCCGATATGGCTAGAGAACATATAAGCAGTTTGATTGGGGCTTGGTGGAACAATGTAAATAGGAGATAAGTAATTTTTTTCAGGAAATGGCAAAGTATGATATTCAAATACAGCAGTAATAGATATTGCATAGACATTGCACTTTATGCAAGCATTTGTACTGAGCATGTAGAATTTAAAAAAATCTATTTTGTTACAGAGACTAAAAATGTAAAAAGATTACAAGTTTGCATTGCAGACATTAAGCTTGTATGGTTAGGCTACAATTTTTGAGGGACTAAGCAAACCAGAGGCTTAACTAGAACCTTCAGGGCCCCAGTGCAAGAAACCCTGGGGGGCCTTTCTGACCCCTCTTCCCTTTTCATTGGTTCTGGGGCCCTTTTCAATGGTCCCCAGCCCCACAGCTGCGTGCAATGCACATGGTTGTGACATGCTAGTGCAGGATTGAAGGGGTTAAAGCAGACAGAGCAGACAATGCAATGCCTCCTTATTGCCTATCAAATGATCTCTGAAGAACAACCTGAATGCTGATTGCTCTTCAGAGACGAAAACATGTGTGAACAAGCCCATCATTTTTTTTACATCTTTTTTTAAAACAGTTTTTAGAATTGTATTTTATTACTTTTTTTACATTTTAGCAGCTCAGTTGGGGGCTTTGATGAAATATCAGGGCTCTAAATAGACCCCTGAAATCTCACATTTTAGACAGAGACACCATGTGGCAAGTGTGACCTCTGTGACCCTGGTAGTTCCACCACTGGAGCAAACATATTGGAAAAATACAAAAATAATGTCTTTTTGTGTTAAATTGATAAAAAAATGAACCAATCTGCACCGCCCATTTGAAGCATTTATTGAATGTGTTCCACAATTTCTGAGGCGTGAAGCAAACACATTACATCTCAAAGTAAAAAATGAGTCTCATTTTGGAAGCTAAAGATGGGAAAAGGTTAGAAATTTGCACCACAGATATCTGTATGGTCTAAAACAAACTCTGTTCCAGGTGATTAGTGTGAACCATCCACTGGCCAAATTAGATCATCTGTAGGACTACAAATAGGGAAGACATTGGGAATCCGCTGCACTCTTCAATCTTTATTGTGAAAGTAAAATCAGTATCACAGACAGTATCAGAGACATCAAAGGTTAAAACGTTCCATGCTAAAAACTAATGCTTATTCATAACCACTAGACACCAGTAAAACTGAACACAATATATACCTGTGTTTATTCATGGAAACGCCCTCACCTGGAGCCCAAAGGCTCCTCCCAGCCACAACAGCAAGGATGATATCTATAAAGGCAGAGCAGAACCTCTTTTACAAGGCACCAGACCATGATACAAATACTTCAAATTAAATGATTGAGGAGTGCAAACGAATTCCGGATGTCTTCCCTATTTGTATATCTGTATGGTCAGGCATCAATTTCTGAATGACTGAGCCTGCATCTGGAACAAAAAGAGGAAGAAGAAAATGAAACAATAAACATTGAACAAACTTGCACCACACTTTTTCAAGCCTTTACTGGATCAGGCCATAGATTTTGAGAGAAAAGAAACATCCATGACCAAAACATTGCTTCCTTTTCAACAGACTGAATAAAGAAACAATTGACAGATTTGCTAGTATGCTTATAATCCTTTTTAGCAGCCAAAAAAATGTTATTATTTCTTCCTAGACAGAAGACAGAAACACTATAACAAATTACAGAACAGTGTTTTACCATTTTGGACAGCTGATAGTGATGAGGTAGAGAGCAGGAAGATCTGGAAAAAAATACTTTATTCTATATTTGTTTGAAATGTAAAATAATGAAATGTAAGTGATTCTAAGTATGCCTTCTAAGCCTGGATAGACTACTATTTCTGAGGAAGACAACAGGCAAATTTCATCAATAAAAAATATTATACAGAATCTCTGTGCAAAATAATATAAATTTTGTACAGATTTTCTGCAGAGAATCTTATCCTTATTAATTTGGGAAATTATTTTTAGACAGAGATTAGGCCTATTTCAAACAGAAATATTACCGGAAACTGCACTGTTCCAGACACAGGTTTCTGCACTTATTTGCACAACAGAATATCATCTCTTTTAATAGGAGGCACATTTGGATGCAGAGACTTGATATATTTAAGCAAGAAATATGCATAACAAAAATAGTATTTTTTAGAAAGACACTGAAAATCATATAGATTAATTTAAAAAAAATTGAATTTATTTTATTAGGAGGTAATCTTGGAGAAACAGAGTAGTCCTATTTCAGATATGGGCAGTAAAAAGCTGCAGCTGCAGCCTTGATCCTAGCATTGTATTTTAGAGCCAGTAATTCACTTTACAGTAAAAGTGAACCAAGCAGTTTTACACCCACCTCAGGAGTGGTCTTGTTCACCCCCTGTGATAGCAATAAAGTTAAATAAAAACACAGAAAGTGTAAAAAAGTAAATAAAATAAATAAAAACAATAATAATACTAATAATAAATATATTATTATAAAATATATAATAATATAAATAAACAAACAAAATGTCAAAGTAAGAGCAATAATTCTAGTGCCAGTGCTCATATTTAATTCTAAACTGATAACCTGTAAAAGCTTTTAAAGCATTGCCTATGAACAATGTTATGTACTGTAGTTTGTTGCCATTTCACAGGCATGTGCAATTTTAAATCTTGACATGCTTGATATCTATTTACTCGAAGCAGCATCATCTTTTATATCCCTCAAAAAAATTGGGTACGTGTGCTCTAAAATGCATTTGAGTGTATTTTTTCCTTAAAATTTGAGTTTGTTAAATGGCTGTGCAAATATTGTGCTACATACAAAATTGTAACAACCACCTTTTTATTCTCCAGGGCCCCTTTGCCTTCAGAAAATATATAATGTTTGGGGGTATGTTATTTTCTAGAAAACAAATACTGATTTTTACATGTATGAAGAAAATTGGTTAAAAAAATCTTACTCTTTTACGTGAGAGACAATTTTGGAGGCAGGAATTTGTTATATTTAAGCCATACATATCAAATGAAACTGTTTTCTTTGCAAAACCATTTTATGAAGGAAGTTAAATTATTTGCTGAACTGAATCACATTGTTTAGGATGTAATAGGGTTCAGAGACAGAAAGTAGGCATATTTATTCACCCACAAGTATTAAAATTAAATTAAACTTTATTTGATGTCCTCCAACTCTAACCACGCATGCGTGGCTCCGGAGGCGCGCTGTGTCCCTCCGACACAGCGGATCACCGTTCAATGGAAAGAGCTGAAGACGTCGGCTCGGTCATGTGATCAGCTGTGTCCAATCGAAACTGATTGCATGTAAATAGGGAAATGCAGGTTATCAGCATTTCTCTCCTCACGAGCTGTCACGCTGACAGCTTGTGAGGAGTGGAGAGCCAGTAATTATTTATTTATTATTTTTATTTATTATTTATTTCAGGTACTTATATAGCACGGTCAATTTACGCAGCACTTTACATATATATTGTACATTCACATCAGTCCCTAACCCTCAAGGGGCATACAATCTAAGGTCCCTAACTCACATTCATACATACATATACTAGAGACAATTAAGACAGGAGCCAATTAACCTACCAGCATATCTTTGGACTGTGGGAGGAAACCAGAGTACCCGGAGGAAACCCACACAAGCACAAGGAGAACATGCAAACTCCATGCAGGAGGTGCCATGGTCGGGAATCGAACCCATGACCCATTTACTGCAAGGCATATGTGCTAACCATTAAGCCACTGTGCCACCCACGGTAATTGGCATTCCTCAGAGGGGACATGTACACTGTTCATCAGGGCACTGATGATCAGTGTAGCCCCAGCAGTGCCACCTGTCAGTGTCCATCAATGCCAGCAGTCAGTGCTCATCAATGCCAAATGCCAGTGCCCATCAGTGCTACATCAATGCCACACATCAGTGCCTATCAGTGCACATCAATGCCACATATCAGTGCCCATCTGAGCTGCCTATTAGTGTCACCTATCAGTGCCAGTCAGTGCCACATATCAATGCCAGTCAGTGCCAGTCAGTGCCACCTATCAGTGCCAGTCAGTGCCTCCTATCAGTGCCTGTCAGTGTCGCCTATCAGTTCCACCTAACAGTACCAGGCAGTGCCACCTAACAGTGCCAGGCAGTGCCGCCTATCAGTGCAGTCAGTGCCGCCTATCAGTACTGCCTATCAGTGCCACTTATCAGTGCCATATATGAGTGCTGCCTTTCAGTGTCCATCAGTGATGCCTGTCAATGCCCATCAGTGCCACCTACCAGTGCCTCCTCATCAGTGCCCATCAGTGTCACCTATCAGTGCCCATCAGTGCAGCCTATCAGTGCCCATCACATCAGTTTCATTAGCACACATCAGTGAAGGAGAAAAATCACTTATTTACAAAATGTTATAACAAAAACTAAGAAAAAACTTTTTTTTTCAAAATGTTCAGTTGTTTTTGGTTTGTTTAGCAAAAAATTAAAAATCCAGAAGTGATTAAATACCACCAAAAGAAAGCTCTGTCTAAAAAAAAATTATAAAAATGTCATATGGGTACACTGTTGCATGACCATGCAATTGCCATTCAAAGTTTGACAGCGCTGAAAGCTGAAAATTGGCCTGGGCAGGAAGGAGGTATAGGCACCCTGTAGGCAAGTGGTTAAAAAATTAAAAAATTGTATTCCTTCTGTGGAAAAAGGACAGAAATATGCACAAATTATCTGCCAAAATGTACAAAATTAAGAGTTAGGACAATTTTCAACTGAAGAGAACTATGCAGAAGGATGTTGTCCATCTTTAATGATGATGCCCTGTAATGAAATGCAACCTAGTAGTTACCCAGCCATAGAAAATGTAAAAAATTGCTATCTTTGGCAAATAGTTGTGTAAAAATTGGGTTTTGAGTATTACTGGTGCCAGCACGTCATAAACCAACACAAATAATTTTGCAGAGCACAGGATGGTACCTGGCCGAAAATGTAAATTCTTTACCGTGGTGAAAAAGCTGTGTGAAAATGGGTTTTGGGTGTTAGTGGTGCTAAAACACTATGAAGGTCCATGCACACTAGGGGCAGAAAAAATACCACAACCTCTGGCAGAAAAGGCAGCAGAAAAATGCTCATAGTGGCTCATATTACACAAGAGTTTCTGAGCATTTATGGGCATTTGTTTTTACAAGCATTTTATTCCAATGTATTTATTTATTCATTCTGCCTCTAAATGCTCCTCTGAAAATCTGCCTGTAAACCATCTAATGCGCATGCACTCATAGGCTAACATAGAGCTGTTTCTACAGGCTGAAAAAATTATTGAAAAACCCCTGTATAAGCAGCATGTTTTATGTCCAGTGTGCGTGGACCCTTTAACTACTGAAATATTGATGCAGACCAAAGAATGTTACTAGGCCAACTGTGAAACACCATATAAAAATACTACAACCCTTCTGCACCATAACATCCATAGCATGCATAAATGTTTCTGCAGAGCACAAAACATTAACTGACCAAACATTTTAAATTGTTGTGACTGTAAAACAACTGCAGAAAAATTTGTTTTGGGGAATTAGTGATACTAAAACACTGTAGCTCTAAATAAATATTTGTACAGAGCACAGTATGTTACCTGACCAAAAAAAATGTAACAACTCCAGAAAAAATGTGGCAATTAAAGCAATGAGCCAAGTATGATAAATGGTGGCAGCACTGCAGCAGTAGCAGTAGATGTTTTTGTGCCAGGCTAGCAGTGGTAGAAGGTGGTATTATCAAAAATGTTTGGCTCTAAAAAGTGTGCAACATCCTGTTTCTCAATTAGAAATTTATAAATGATAATGGGGCTTTTTGAGGCCAGCACAAAAAAAAGTTTATCCATAAAAATATATAGTTTTTATTTATACAGTTACTGAATTAAAATCAACTTTGATTACAAATTACAATAGTGCATCTGCTCTGACACTAGATAACATCATGCTCTATCACCTGCTTTGAGCAAAACCTTAGTACATAAATGGGTAACCCATACATGACATTCATCATCTCCCTTGTTGCAGTTATGATAGGCTGTTTTGTAGCTCAACATGTTTCCCAGATTTCACATTTCTACATCAGGAGAAATAGGGGGTCAAAACATCTACAAAAGTGTAAAAATATTGTTCATAATATCATATAAACCTTTCATTATCACACAGTTTTTTGTTACATGATGTCCATAATACCTGTATCACAAGATGTTCAAAAGGCTCAAAGCAAGGACTCAAGAAAAAAAAACTGGGTATTGTAACCCCCAGAAGACAGGCACACTTCTGAAGACATCGCAAGCAAATTCAATATGTATAACAAACGGATCTTTAAAATTAACATTTTAAATTATAAGCAGCCCTTGTATTAGATAATTGTAAAATCTGTCTTCTATAGGAACAATTCCATCTATTCAAAATGGCTCATTTAAGTTACCTGTATACTATGCATGGCGCAACATTATCACTTGTGTAACTGAAGATTTCCCCCACGGAGGTGTCTTTTTACATACAGTAAATATTATATTCAAACAATGCAAAAAATAGTAATATAAAATAGGCCATTATATACCCTATATGACCTACTGTATTTGTTATTTATTCCATAACTAAACTAATGTTACCCGTTTATTGCAAGTATTGAGGTCTGATAACTTGCCGTCATTTGTAAATGCTATAATCTTCAAGCAAACCAATTAACATACACTTATTGGGATTTTTTTTACCAAAGACATGTAGCAGAATACATTTTGTCCTATACTTATGAAGAAATTAAATTTTGTATTATTTTATTTGTTTTTCGTCTTTTTTCATTTAAAGGTGCAAAAAATAGATAACCCAGTGGTGATCAAATAAGACCAAAAGATAGCTCTATTTGTGTGAAAAAAAACATTATATAAATTTCATTTGTGTATAGTGTTACATGACCACGCAATTGCCAAAGTAGCGCGGCGCTGTATAGCAAAAAATGGCCTGGTCATGAAGGGGGGTAAATCTTTCGGAGGATAAGTGGATAGATAAAGATTGGGTATACGAATGCTAGGTATTATAAACAGCAAGCAGCTAGCATAAAGGCAAAACCTCTAGACCTTCTCATAAACCCATAAATAAATGCAGTGCTAAATTTCATGTCACTATCAATTTAAAAATGTATATGATATGGTTGACCTATGAGACCAGTTTGACAGCACCACTCCACCTCCTTCATGAGCAGTGGAAAGTTGGCTGTGAGACATCAGGTAGTCACAACCAGTAAAGGCAATGCTGAACTTTTGGGCTGGTTTCTGCTTAGGCTCGTTTTATTGCGAGTCCCCCCTTAAGGTGGATTCCTATTACTCTGCACTTACCAGTGAGGGGGTGGTCCCCCCCTGCTGGATGGATGTGTATCCCTGGAGCCTGGAGAGTGATGACATGCTGATTACCTGTCTTGCGGTGGTTTGCCAGATGATCCCCTGATTTTCACCTTCCCAGATCCACATGACCAGGAGTAGTCTGTTATACTCAAATGCGTACTATATTGCACTGTCTGATTAGTGCAATATATACTCATTCTTAACCACTGGAGTCACAGAATTCACCAAAACATTTATTTTGGACTTGCAATATAATTTTTTTATATTTTTTTTTTTCTATTATTTAATATCTATGTCACCTTTGCACTTTAAACGTCAATATCAAGTTGTTCTCTCACGTTAATGATTTATAGTGCTCCACAGCGCATTTATTTATGTTTACCATATCATATACCTTTTTAAATTGATATTGACATGAAATTTAGTGCTGCATTTATTTATGGATAGATAAAGATTGATTATCTGAAGGTAAAATATCTCATATGACAATATTTTATTCATTACCACAAAATCCACAAAAACTCTAGAAATCCTCCTGGATCTTCAATCATTTTAGGAATTGGCAAGTAGATTTATAGACTTTTGTTGAATGCCATTGTCATACAACTGCCATCTTATATAAAGGATACCTCTCACCTGCTATGTGTGTTGGAGGGGATTTCCATCCTTGAGGGAGCACTGCTTGTTTCAGGGTCCAGATCTGAACCCGGGACCTCTGCTATAGCTGGCTGTAATGCAGGACAACTCCCTTTCTGATTCCATAGGAAATCTTGACTTGTATCTTGTTTCTAGTGAACCTTGAACTTGTTGCTCCTCCCATGAACTTCCTGATTTAAGTCATGTCTCTGCACTTCCTGTTTGCCAGATTATTGTGCTCTCTCCAGCTGATATCTTGCTACTTTTTTACCTGCAGCTGTCTTTATCTTCACTGCCACTTGTTTCTCAATTATGCTTCCTCTTGATCCGAACCTGCTACTACTTGTTTACTGACCTTTGTTTTTTTATTGACTTTTGAACACACTCATCCACATAAGTTGAACTGGATGGAATGGTGTCTTTATTCAACCCTACCAACTACAGTATGTAACTATGCTACTTTCTACATCTGTTACCAGATCCTGGCTTGCTCACCTCCTGGTAGGGAGATCCTAAGGACCACAACCTGGCACTAGCATGCAGCAAAACCCATCCCCACCATCAGGAGCTCTGGTGAGTACTGGCTAGTGCTTAGACCCTGCATCTTGGGTGAGCTTGCATCATCCATTTGTGTGACCTGTTTGTGTACTTATCCTTCTGGTAGGTTTGAACCTCTCTACTGCTATAGCTACTGGTCCCTGAGCCTGACACCTGACCATGACAGCTTGTTGTAATAGATGTGGAAGCTTTGTACTCCAGCATTTCACACGAGCATTGCTTACAAGTGGTGGCTTACTTCCTTCACAAACAGGAAAGTGTGACTTGACCATTGAATGATTTTATCCTCCTTCTTTGAAGACATATTTTGAACTGTAATGTGTCTTCACATATTTAAGCTCCTACTACCTCCAGGTTTAGGATGTTGTGATGGGGACATGTTGCTCAGTGACATGAACACATTACATTTCATAAGATAGTGGAGGACAGGGATGGTTTCACAGGAAAGGAAATTGTGGCCAGGAACCTGCCACTGCAGTACAGCACAGGCCATACATTCACAAAAATCCAGAATCCACCAGCTGAGAAGGCAGGAGCTGTAAAACCAACAGTTTCGTCAAGTTGGTATTGAGCTGCTGAGCATGGGCCTGGCTGGGGGCATACT